TTTTTTTCCTTTTGTCCTGAAAAATAAAAATTAAGTGTTGTCATGAATTATAATCACTCAATTGGCATATGCCGATATATACATTCCAAGTTTGAGGCTTTATGCTCGAATCTAGGGATTGGTTTCAATCGGTTCAGGTTGTCTCATAATAGTACTGTCAGGCTTATTAATATTGTGACTAGGTTTTCTTGATCAGTTATGAGAATGCATTTGTTCAAACCTTTGCAAGTTTGGGTTCAATTGATTTGGCATATGGTGGAAAGTTTTGAACATTTTGATTACTTAGGGGGTGATTGGAAATAATAATTTTTTGTTTTGATTGGATTTATTAGATAAATTGAGTTAATTTTGGAAATAGTTGATTCAGTGGAGGATTGAGTGAGATTTTGAGTTTGTATTTAAATAATATTTAAAATATTATTATCAAAGTTTATGCGATGTAAAAGTACGATAGAAATGATTGAATATAGTTGGTAATTAAAAATATGTGAGTGGATAAACTGTGAATTTTGTCGATTTGATGTGTGAGAATAATTGATTGATATTTATTTAATTATATTAATAAAGAGTAGGTGAATTAAGTCGAATTTATTAGAGTTGGTTTTTGAGGCAAAAGTGTGGTAACATGATAAAATCTATTTCCAATCGTGTCGTTATTAAGAAGAGGCGCCAAGGATCGCATAGTGTGAGGTTTGGATAAAAGGCCTTGCATAGCAGAAAGACATGAGAAAAGGTGTCAACGTACACAGTGAGCGTCAAAGTCCTAGGCGTGAAAAGGCACAATGGATGCGCGTGCCTTTTGTTTGAACAACTGAAATTATAACTCCAAATCGTGTGATCTGTACTATAGATCCTTCAAATCCAAAAGTAATGTCCAGAAACTGAAAATTGTTTGTTCTTGATAGAAAGATGAAATGGAGAGCATAAAAGATGAACTATACTTTGAAAATACTGATTTACTAATAGTTACTTTTGTAGAATACAATTGGATGATTCTAAATCGTATCTTAATATTACTTTGTTAATGGAAAAGTTTATAGCTTTTTCTACTGAATTAGTTCATGTACATCTTTATAACACTTACAACCATAAACTAAATAAAATAGTAATACTGCTTGGAAATGCTTTTTGAAGCCTATGCAACATCTGTTGTCTTTTTAATACCTTTGCTTACAGTGTCGGAGTAGATGAGTCATTGGTTACCTGATTAACCGCTTAAGAACAGGCTGGGCTTCTTCGTTAAAATCTTAGAATTATCTGTAACCAGATATCTTGTAATAATAATAGACTCGAATGCAAATCAATTTTCAGTGTACATAATATGTTCTTTTCCTTTACTGTTCCTTTTCAACCCATTAGTCAACTTTATTATTAATTATTATTATTGCAAGAAAATTGATTGAGGATGAGACCAAGGAGCTGGAAATTGAGCAAGATGATGAACCGATTTTTGTTCTAACCGACGAATGGAAGGACTTATTTGCAAAATCCGAGGCCAAAAGGAGACTCGGTCTAAATTAGTTCCCTCATGATAATATTTTAGCATGGGTGAGTTGAATCATACATCCATCTTACTGCTTTTTGTTTGTGTGGTGCAGCTAAGAAACGATCTATGAAGGGCAAGAATTAGAAGAGGAATTTCCTCAAGCAGCAATTAACATCTCGAGGTAGTCTTCCTTTGGCACTTTGACCCTAAAATTTACTACCCATTTCTACGGGGTTCATTTAATTTCACTACCCGTAAAGAAAATGAAATGTCTGAACTGAAATTAACCTGGTCATATTTTGCGGTTATTGCTTTTTGTTTACGTGCATGATATAAGTTTCTCGACCGTTCCTAAAAATATTTACGATAGGTCTTCTCTTAAGTTCCATAGACATCCATGCTCTTCCGGCAAATATACATGTTATATTTTTTAAATATTGTATAAACAAAAAAAAAAAAAAAATATGACATTTCATAGTATACGTGTGTGTATATATATATATATATATATTTAAAAAAATAAAAACTAAAGAAACAGTTTTCAGATTAAATTTTAAAAGTAAATCATTTCATTTAACAATTAATTTATCAACTAGTCGTCGTTGAGGGCAGATGTAGCCAAGTGGACCAAGGTAGTAAATCCACCATGCGCGGGTTCAGTTACATCCCACCATGACTAAAAGAAAAGGGCGTTTTTTTTTTTTTTTGAAAGATGAAGAAAGGAATTCTTTTCTCGTATATTCATTACATCGACGCACGACCAAATTATCACTATGCTTATTTGCTTTTGTCTTTTTTATAGGGTTTTGGGTTCTTTGGACCAATTTGGGTTCTCCTCCGACCACCTGGGAGATGGTCTACAATTCATAACTACTACTCTTACTGTAGGATGCTTTCTTAGCAAGCGCTTGGATCATGATCTACCCAAACTTTTCTATTTGCCCCAACATTCCACACCTATTATGTAAAGCAATGGGAATGGGTAAATATTATATAAAAACTTTTTGGTGAATCCTTGTATGAATGTATTTTACTTTTTGTTGAATTTGGTTATGCATTTTTTCATTTCAATAGAAGTTCATTAGTATTTCTAGTTTGTGTTATACACAAAAAATGAAATATGTTTTATTCACCCAACTAGAGTGAAAAATTATTTACATAATTCCAAAATTTGATATTTGCAGTATTTGGTACATAGAGTGAAAAATTATTTACATAATTCCAAAATTTGATATTTGCAGTATTTGGTACATAGATGTTTGAAGCTTTTGGCTTTGTTGGGCTATTTGATATTTCTTTTGACCATCCCTAACAGGCAAAAGCAATGTTTGATAAATAGTCATTTCAAGTAGCTTTTTATATGAAACTATTATTCTTAGAAATGCTGCTACGTGCAGCGTAGGTACAACTTTTGATGTACTTGTTAAAGCTCGAGTAGCTCTCAAAATGAAACGGGTAGCTCGTGAATTTTGATGTACTTGTTAAAGCTCGAGTTCGGCTCGAGTCGTTTATCATCGAACTCTCTTAAAGCTCGTTTTGTTAACGAGCCTGGCTCTGCTCAACAAACCTCGAAAAGAAAATTTTATATAATTTTCTATAGTTTGACTCGTTAAAGTTTGAGATCGGCTCGTTAATGATCGTATTCAACTCGTGAATGTTAATAAACGAGCAGAGCTTGAACTCGATTTCTAGCTCGTTTACTTAACGAGTTTAGTCGGGGTTGGCTCAGCTCATTTACAGACCTAGATAAGAGTGCACTCTAGTACATTTCATGTAATAATAAACTTATGGATAAAGTTTTTTTTTTTTTTTTTTTAGAAAATCCATTATATAGAATTTAAGTATGAAGATTTTTTTAAGAGTAAATTACGGTTCATTCGATGCTACCCTTACGGGTACTACCCATTTTCACTGTAGTCCAATGAAAGAAAGCCATGTGGTCTGCTTTTGTTTTACGTTTCAGTTTTACATTTTTTTCTCTTCTTTTTCTTTTCCGTGGTATTTTGCTTTTAAAATTGTTTCAGCTTTTGTTTCTTTGTTGACTTATTCACAAATAAAATAAAAAATAAATAATGGTTAGCCTTTTCAAATTAAAAAGACAAAATACAAAAACAAAACAGATCTAAAATTTGGTACAGATCTAAAATTTGACTACCATCATTGTCTGATAATCTGCCCGAAAATCATTTTTGCTCAAAAATTGCTCAATCTCAAACCACAGGTAGAGAAATCAATTTGTTGGGTTTTGTTATTTATAGTGCAAAGTAATATACCTTAATTCAGTTAAGCTTTCTTTGATTTACATTTTGTTCATTTGCTGCGTTAAGAAAATTGTGAATGCATGGTAATATACCTTAATTCAGTTTACCATTCTTCAATAATTCAGTATAGCATTCTCTAATATTCACACTCAGTATACCGTAATATTGATGAAAACGATTTTTTTAGGATTTTATTAAAGAAAGCGATTTTTTCAGGACTGAAGCAGTGCACCGAACGATTATTATTATTATTTTTTTTAAGATGTGATTACAATGAAGGTACTTAGCATATTTGAATGTACTTAGCATATAAACAGAATGTGTTTATTTTTTGGTGTGAATATTATTGAACACAATGTGTGAACTTAGGTCATCTCCAACCCTTATTTCTACTCTAGCACGGACTTTACTCTACTCTAGAGTAGAGCTGAACATTCATCTCCACCCCTTATCTCTACATTAAATTTATTATTTTTTATTCATTTTTTTTATTTCAAATAAATTGGTATATATGTATATTTAATTTTATATAAATTGTTAATTACTCAAATAATACAAAAAAAATTATTTATTTGTATTTCAAATGAATTTGGTATATATGGTATCATTTTAATATTAAAAATTACAAAATAAAATTACAATAAACCTATAAATAAAAAACACAAAATTATTTAGCATAAAAAATACATTGCACAAATTCTTTAGCATAAAAAATACATTTACTAATACACATTATATAATTATATACCAATAATAATACACAAAAAAACAAAAACAAAAATAAAAAATACAATAAAATAATTGTAGAGTCGAGCTACAGTGTAGCGCCAGATGTGGTGACTGGCCGAAGCTCGGAGTTGGTCGCGGGTTTGAGCTGGTGGATTGGACCCGCATGGACTCGGGCTTTGCCGTGGGGAGCTCGGGTTCGACGGAAGCCTTGGACGCCGGTGGGTTTGGGCTCGCCGGAAATGTGAGCTTCGCCGGAAAAATGGCCGGAATTCATGGTGGAAGAAGATGGTGTACTTTTGGTCTTGAAGATGAAAGTGGAAGAAGGTGAATAGTGAATGATGTAGGCTAGGGTTTTGATGTTTGGAAAAGAGGATATGTGCTATTTATAGGCAAGTAGGAGACTTAGGGTTTTGTAGTCTTATTGGGCTCAATTAATCGGGCCTATAAAATTCCTACGATCGGTGTAGTGCCCCATTCGATTTATGAGAGTCGTAGTTTATTTCTTATTTATTTTGCACTGCTCGACTTGTGTATCTTGGTTAATTCAAAATGAGAATTAAGTAGATGTCCTCGTCTATTTAATTTTCCTAATTAATTCACCAAATCGATAATCGAGAATTTAAGAGGATGTCATCGTCTTCTTAATTCTTCTTTTGTGCCTATAAGTAATTCTATGTCTAAGTGTAATTTGTGTGCTAAGTGTTAAGTGTTTTAGTTGATTTTGCGCAAGTATTATTTTCGGCCCACTTATACCAATCAAAACACACACCTTACCACTTAAAATATTCGGCCCAAAGCTAGGCCCAATAAGCCTATTTGGTTTAGAAATCTCAGCAAATTCTCTATCTCCCCTATAATTGATATTCCGTTGCCTTAGAAATCTCAGCAAATTCTCAATATAGTCAGCCCATCTAAATCATTGCACTCGATTGATACCAGTCTCGCCGATTTCTCCCCGAACACCGCTGACGTCCGCCCGTTGTCCACCCCAGCCGCCGTCGACGGAGCCACCGTCGTTCAGTCACGAACCTCCAATCACGAACCGCCGTTGCGTGCTTCTGTTTCGCGGGAAACTCGTCATCGTCTCTCCCTGCGACCAGTCCGTCCATTACCGAGGAGCCGTACGCCCGAGCCGCACCACCATTGACGACGACCTCTCGAGCCCTGACCTCTGAACCACCAGACAGACAAGGGAGGTTTCTCACGGCAAAGACGAGTTTCATGCGACTGAAGCAAGCCCGAGCCAGCAGCGGAGGATCTCCGTCCATGTCTGAGCTTCATCCTTCGATTGACAAGAAACCTTAGTCTCCAGTGACCAGACGCGGCTGAGCGTGTTTTCCGACGGGAGGGCCAACCATAGTCCGACGAACAGCGGCCTTCACGGCGATGCGATTTCTGTACGATTTCTGCGAGTGGGCTGAGAGTGAACAACAGCTGAGCGGATTTCCAAAGGCCTCCGAACGGTAGTGACTAGTCGTGGCTGAGGTGCCTGTGTTCCGAGCTGCGATCGATAACTTGAGCAGTGGCGGATGGCCTGCTTTTGAGAACGTATGGGTGTTCGGGCTACAATGAGGCGTCTCTTCCCGAGGCCGCGAGTAGCCATGTTCGAGCCTTCGTCCGTTTTCCCTCCTTTCGTGTAGAAGTAAATCTCGTATTCCTCTTTTATTATCATTTGTTTAGATCCTTGGATATGTAATTCGGATCTTTGAATTGTGATTAATTTGAGAATGATTATTTGTGTTGATTCTATGAAGAGTGATTATGTGTTCTGTTGCGCCTAAGTTCAATTGATTGGAGAGGTTAGGAACATGATTTAGCATGATCAATTGGCCTTCAATAATCCTGTGTTGCTAAGCTTTATTTCATGTTACTATGTGCTATTTTGGTGCTTGATTTGAAGGAGAAAAGAAGCAAGATTGGTATTATTTGTGCCTTGTTATGTTGGACATTATTGAACCATGTTCATGTTGTGTATGTAAGTTCTGAATATTGGCAGTAAATCGATGAACGTTCCGGTGTTCACAGGATTCAGAAATACGCAAGAATATTTAAGGGAAGTTTGCATTAGTTTTAAATTGGAAGTATTTTTTATTTATTATTTAATAATGATAAGTGTATTATTTTGGCAGGTCCATTGGAATAATCTCGGATTCACCTTCCTTAATCGCAAGAGGAAGATTGTTACTTCAAATAACTTGAAACCTTTCTTATGAGTATTTAACTTGGGCGCAAAGAAAAATGAGTGACTTGCCAATTGATGTTGAAGTATACAAGGAGGACGAGACACAAGTAAAGGATGATTTTTGCGACTGGATTTATTATTTTTGATGTATTCCTTTTTATGTGAGCCAGAGTCAATATATTTCTAAGAGAGTCTGTAACAGAGTGTCCGGAGATTCATTCTGTATAGTTTGAGGGATTCAAACTAGAAAATCCACAAGGGAGTTGTGGTCGGATAAGTAGTTGTGTGAATCATTGTTCAAGTAGAGTGTAGAGGGGGTCTATGCTGTAAACCCTTGGATCGTGTTAGAGTTATTCACATTAATGAAAGAGATCTGAAGGGAGAGTGGGACGCTCTCCTGAAGGTTCATTTGCGCAGAGGACCAAACGCTTCCGCGGAGTTACTGGTGAAAGGCAAGCAAGTCACGCGCAAGGTGTGAAAACTGCTTTCGCAATTTGTTGTTCTATTTACATTCGACTTTGGATAGTTAGTGTACAAGTATCAAACTTCAATTGGCACAAGAGCGGGTTTTCGTTCACATGATGAAAGATCTAAGGACTTGTGTTACTAGCAATCATGAATCAAGAAAGTGGATCGATGTCGCAATTGACGGTTCTAATTACTCGTATTGGAAGTCTATGATGACGATCTTCCTAAGATCGCTTGGAAAAGGTGTGTGGGAAAGTGTTGAAAATGGTTGGGTGCATCCAGTCATGGTACGAGCACCTGATCAAGAAAAAGGAGCTACGATTCCTTAACCTAAAGACAATTGGACAGATGCTGAGAAGCTTCAAGAAGAAGCTAACTATCGTGCCTTGTATGCGATTATGATGACAGTGGATCAGACAAGACACAAGATGATAGTTCAATGCAAGACTGCGAAAGATCCGTGGCGGGTCTTACAACGTCAATTCGAAGGTTCAACGGCTGTCAAAGCATCTAGACTTCAACGAGTGACTCTTGAATTTGATGAAATCAGAATGAGGGATGAAGAAACAATTGACATATACTATGCCAGATTCTGTGATGAAATCAGAATGAGACTCCTTATTATAATTATCCGATTT